AGAGAGGACCCAGCCCACCAGCTATGGGCTGCCTAACCTGTCTCCTCTCTCTCTGTTTGAAATACCTGCTCTTTAAGGAGTGACCGTGTGATGGGCTCACCTCACTCACTAATCATCCTTCTTCCTCCTTAGACTTATCCTACTGTGAGGAAGAAATCGGCCTAGTCACACCTTCACTCTAAACACACAGAGAGCTTCCTTCCACCCAAGACATCGACCCAAGGGCACTGTAAAGAAGGCCCCACTCCCATACCCTGCTCTCTAAAGACATCGAATTACCAAACTGTCTACCTAGGCTCCTTGGTATACAGATCCCGGACTCATTGAGTCCACGACATAGCACAGGACAACACAGCATGGGGCAGCACAGCCCACAGGAGGGCTCCCCAGCAAGCAGCAGCTCAGTGCAGGGGGGCGCCTCAGGGTCCTCATCAGCCTGACAGATAAGAAGCACTAGGGGGAAAGGGAGGGGTGGGGGTTACTTTGTTAGAGGTCAAACATTAAGTAGGTGGACCTGCACTACTCACTCCAAGAACAAACACGTGTAAGAAAAATGTTCTTGGCACTGGCTAGTTTTTATATTAAGAAACTAACAGGATGATCGGGAAGTGATCAAAACTGGTTGCTGGACTGTGGATGGAGTCAGAGCACAGGAGCCGAACAAAATAACCTTCCAACGCACTATTTATGGAAAATAAAAACAAAAGTTTATATATATCATATTTTCCTCTAGTGAATCATAATTTTAATCAACTTTTGCTTTTAAAAATTGCCTTATTTTAACTTTTCTACTTCTAAGATGTATTCCTTTAATCACTGACAAATAACAACTTCAGACCATAAAAATTAACAAATCTCTTTCCATCTAAAAGGACAAAGGGTTTTACGATAGTTATTCCCTCTCCTATAGTTCAAACTGGGGATATTTTCAGAATTAAGTAGCACATTATAATGCATTAGGGTTTTTAATTAAGCTCCAAAATCGACTACAAATTTCAAAGATTTCCATAGGCTTTGAGGTGTTTTCTCTTACCAATGAAAACAGAATATATGGCCATCAAATATGAATTCATTTGCCTTAAAAATAGTATAGCCTTATTTTATTGTTTTGAACTTTTGTCACTTTATTGTTAACCAGTAAATGTTATCCAAAATTACAGATGTCATTGTAACTTCATTGATACAACACAAAATTATGCTAATAGTAAAAGCCTGTTGAAATTTACCAAATACTCATTAATATATTTTTACATTGCCACATGACTATGTACTCTCAACTACTAGTAATAAAAGTTACCATTAGTTTAATCATTATAAAAACCCATATTGCAAATAGTTGTTTCTGTTTAGAAAAATTAGCACAGCTTTAAAAATGGACTAAATCCATTTTAATCCTAACCTACAGATAGAATGATTAACAGCAAGTATAACTGGTAATTTTTCAACACTGATATCAAACTGATGCAGCGATCATAGTGTACACAATTCAAAATGAAGAAAATTAATACAAACCCAACGGTAGTGCAGGTTTTCACCTGCTACGGCAACTGCTTTAATGGTTTGGAAAAGTGAACACTTAAGTTTTAACACATGAACAGTAAGGATCGCCATTGTCT